GGGCCTGTCCGGGGGGTTCTGTTCGCCCGCTGTCCTGGGGAGGACCCGCCCCCAAGCTCCGCCGACTGTGGGCCTGTCCGGGGGGCCCAGTTCGCCCGCTGTTCTTGGGGGGGGCGGAGAGGGCGGCCCCCACATGTTGCGGACCGCGGGCCTGACCGGGGGGTTCCGTTCGGCCGGAGTTCTTGGGGGGGGCGGCGAGGGCAGCCCCCATATGTCGCGGACCGCGGGCCTGACTGGGGGGTTCCGGTCGGCCGGAGTTCTTTGGGGGGGCGGCGGCGAGGGCGGTTCCTGCATGCCACCGATCGCGGGCCTGTCTCGAGGGGTCCGTTCGTCCGGAGTACTTGGAGGAAGCGACAAAACCGTCCCCCAAACGTCACCAATGGTGAGTCTGACCTTGGGCTCCTTCGATGAAGAGAGCGCTTGTTCAAATGAGCAAGACTTGAGTCCTTCTCACTTTTCGGAGGGTGTGTCAGCTTAGGGCTTCCGTAATACAGGGGCAAAGAACGCCCGTCCAACGACTTCAATGTTGTGAACATTGCTTTAAGGCCGCTTGCAATCTAAGTGCTTTGTAAGTGTCATCGAACTTTGAGTTCGGCCAGCGATAATCACTCAATTTCCCCCTCCATTCAGGGTCCCGTTTATGAGGGCAACGGGAAACCGGACCTGCACGGGACTGGTTCGCCGTCTCTTTATGCGGACTTGGATCATGAGCAGGTACCTAACGTTCCTGATCAATGAACAGGATTTGAGTAGGATTGAAAGCTGTGCTTGAATCAAGGGCGTTGCCTAGAATTCTATGTACTCGCGGCAATTGATAAGTTTATCGGAAGCACCTGCTTGCACGCGGTTCAATTTGTGTACTTTATATTACAAACAAGCTCTTTAATAACTCTATGATTGCCTTCGATTTCTTCAGATTCTCGCTCAAGAGAAGCCGGTTGGTAGACAGAGTCTTAAGCGGCCCAGGGTTGAAAACGTAAGAAACATTTTCTTCCTTCTCTACCGAGCATCGAAACATGCGGAGAGCTGCTTTTTGACTGAACAATGCTTTCAACCGCGCATATTGACTAGAGGCACGGCCTTGTCTATTCGACTGACATCCCAAATTGTTGTATGCTGTCCAGACCACTCGAAACACAAGCAAGCAACGGAAGCTCTCCGCTGCCGCTGTGAAGAAACAGCCCGTGTCGGCGGCAAGATTCAGCCTTCCAAGAGTGACGCGACGTATTCATTCTGAGGCGGAACGGCGGCTATTTTTTGAGTTGTGTCCGGTAGAAGGAGGCATAAAGTGGGACGATTTCACCCGGCAATACAATTTCCGGGTCAACGAGGCGCTCCGGGCAAGTCGGAATTCTTCACGCGTTGAGATCACCGACCTCGCCCTCAAGCAAAAGAAACATCTGATTGAGTTTGCTCGGGGCTTAGTGGACCAGCAAATTGTTGACGCCTCACTCGGATGGTCCACTGACGCGGTTACACGCTTCCAGGTACTTCAACACGACCTCCACGAGAAGAGGTCAACGCCCATACCATCATCCATGCCCACAAATCTCGCCATGCCAGGTTCACCTGGCCCATTCACAACATCCATGCCACCATCCGCCACTAGACCGTCACCAGAACAGGTGTCAATTGGTGGTAGTATGATTTTGGGGCAAGATCTAGGTAGGCCGCCCGTGAGTCAGCGGCCTTTTTCTTTTATGCGGCAACCTCCTGCGGCGAACGCTCCACCAAAGAAGTTGCCACGTGGCAAAGCGAGCGCCGGGAAACCAAGGCATTGTAGTAAGTGTCATAGGCTCATCAAGGGCACCGGTCATTATTTAGGGAAAAAGTGCCCTTATACTTAGAGTCGTTTTGTACAATTGACGGTTATGAAGTAGAGTGAAGTACGTCGCTGTAATGTCATTGGATATGTGATTGCGACGAGTTCATGTTGAGTGCTGAAAATAGAGTTATCAATGTTTTCAGATGTGGACCGTTGTTGTACGATGAAGTGTTGACCGCAGCTGTGCAAGGAATAGTTTCTTTGATTGTAGTCTCTTAATTGTTGCAAATCAAAGAACGTCATGGCGCCTAAGTTCAAACATGAGACTATCTACAACGGCCGTGCTAAACTAATTCTGCAGTGCAAATCTGGCTTGCTCAACGACAATCATTTACTACGACAAGTTGTATATGCACGTTAATACTGGTATACATGATGATTTGCATACTCAAAGCCATGCGAAAACACCAACTACGCGAAGCGCACATCCGTTTGGGCCGCATTCTGACGGTCACCGTACAGGCGGCCGCGCTGTCTGGCTGTCGCGCACGTACGGTACTACTAGTGACCGGAGTCAACAGAATTGGCGCGCGGATGACCGTTCTGCCGCCGGCGCGGCCGGGGCCGGGGAGTACGGCCGGCCGCGTGTGTTCTTACAATTTTAATTTAATTGCATGATCCGATCCGACCGGACGATACGTCGATGGAGGCGTTCATAGCTTATCGATCCTGGCCGGCTTCGCCGGCCGTTGATCGCCTTCGGCGACCGACGGTCATTAGAACGTTTTGGGAGGGGGCCCTCCCGGGCCCCCTCCCGACCTTGTTTTTGCCCGGTTTTCCCTCCCGACCCTTAGAACGCGGCCCGTGGGATGAGCTCTCGCGGTGAGTCGGATGGATGGATCTGGAGTCTACGGTAGTACGCTCTTGGTGATTGCTTATAGCCTTGTGGGTTCTCATCATCAGGATCGTCGCCTTGGCTTTGCAATCTTCCCGCTGAGTAATCGCCCTGGCCAAGGTTCAGAACCGCGCAAACTAAAACGGTTGAACGGTCCAAAACGGCCGGCCGCTCGACAGTCGCTGCTTACGTCGATCACGTTTGCATATAAGCTAGGGTTCTTTCTTTACTGCGGCATAATTGAAAGGCTTTAATTAATATCTCCGAATCGAGCATGCTGGATTGCGGATGCCAAGGACAAATGCGATCATGCAATGATCGATCAGACCAATCTGTGAATGCGTTCCGCCAGGGACTCCATCTTCGGCGGCATCTCCATGCAAGTTAACCAAGTATTTGAAACCTAGCACGAAGGTTTCTGCGGTGAATTAGACCTAACACAGCTTCGTGTTCAACAGCAAAGCACAGATGCGGCTTCAACTGGTTTCGCAGTAGGTATATTGGTTCAACACGTCAACCCGTTCAAGCTTAGTGGGACTCCGCCTCTCGGTGCCTTTCATGGACCGCATGGACAACCGGCCTGTCTTCCGTCGGCCCCACCCTTTCATTTCACTTCCGAAGTAGGCCTTGTCAGATACGCCACCCCGATGCCATGTTCAACACACCTGAACTCTCGAGCTTTCTACAATTATTCCAGGTTTTCCCCGCTTCATTCGCGCCCTTGGCGCCCCACACTTTCATTTTCCCCTCAACCACGCCATATTTTACCTTCCGCCGTCTCTATGCGCCTGGTTTCCGTTCACGGCTCCCTCCTCGCATATCCTGCTGTCCGCTCCCTTCGGCGCCACGTCATCCAGGCTGACGTCATCGTCCTCGTCGTTGCAGGCGGCATCGCCCCAGATCTCATTCTCCTTGTCCACTAAACCAACAATTTTTGCACGCCCCCCTCTCTCCCCTAGTTCCCACTCTTATCGTATCCTCTCTCGCCTCTTATTCCCCTCCCTTCTAACCATACCTCCGTCTCCTCTCACACCCCTCTTTTCTCACGCTTCCTCCATCTCTTGCACGCTTCTCTCCTTATATGCCCCATCCCTTATTGTCTCTCTCAGCATAAGCCCCTGCTTCCTATTATAACCTCTTACACCTCCTTCTCTATACTTACGCCCCGTCCTTCCCTCGCCGCTGCTTCAACGCCTCCAGCACCGCCGAGAAGTCCTGATCCCCCAGGCCCGCCTCCCGGGCTTTCTCATAGAGCGCGTTGGCGGCCGCGGCGACTGGGAGCGGCTGCCCGACCGCCTCCGCGAGCTCGAGTGCCAGCCGGAGGTCCTGTACAAGCAGCATTTCAGAAATTTCAGCGTGGCCTGACGAAATCCTGAGAAAACTTTCAGTCCAAAGGTGGAAGATACTGTATATCGACGGGCTGACTTTCGAAGCTCTTACAAGTCTGGGAATTTTCCACGTTCGAAATCGCTGGACTTCTGAAGAGAGGAGGGATCGCAATGCGGTCTGAAACTAATCTCGTATGCGAACAGGCTTGAAAGATCTGTGAGCATCGTGAGTCGGAAGCTCGTTAGCGTCAGCTTTCTTCCCACGCACGTCTTCTTTTGTGGTGAAGCCAAAGTCCGAATACTTTGAGAGCAGACTCACGGAGACCCAAAGCGCACAAAACTTCCACGAGGGGAGTCACCAAGTTCGAAACAGGCCCGTTGAGGGCCGCAGAAGCCGTGCTGAAGATTGTTTTTGATACAAGAAGCATCCGCAAAGCAGCAGGGGTTACCTTTTGTTGGTGCTTGAGCGGAAAGGCGGGGCTGTAGGAGCCCTTGAGCATGGTGGGGCCCTTCATGCTGTACAGCGGAGCGTTGATGGCGCCCAGCAAAACAACCTGCGCCGAGTAACACATAAACTCAAGCGCCCCCAAAATGTTTCTCAGTGGGGAAGTCTGCTCACGCAGCAACAGCCCAGCTGACGCCACTTTGCGACATGGCAATGGGTGTACACGCGGAGCAAGCTCGTCTTACCTAAGGAGGACCTTGGTTCTTAAAGAGGGCGTCAGATTTTCCAAGGGCACTAGTGGCATCTGAGTCATGAGGGAAAATGTCATCGGACGGACTATAATGCATCTTGAAATATTGGCTCAGCGACCAATTTGCCCATATTCGTGGTTTATGGTCGCCGAGGCGTGACGGGTCCCAGGACGCCCTCTTTAAGGGGATATTGAATGGAGCGCGGTTAGAGGCTGGTCTTCTCCTGCGCACCGAATATGAGCCCTTCCTCGGAACTACCACGAAGCAGATCACGAGACATGAGCAAAGTGGTAAAAGAGAAGGCTGAGGTGCAAATGGCCGGGAGGCGGAGTGAAATTGACCTCCAGAATGGTTTCTGGGCTGAGGCCCGCAGCCTGGCCCAGTAGAAGCCCCTCCGAGAACGAGGCCAGCATGCTGCAGGAGGAAAATGAGCAGAGATTGTCGGTTGTGGCCGGATTGAGGTGCGGGATGTGGTAGACTCGGAACGTTCGAATAGGACTCCGTAGCGCAGGTGGTGTTCGACCTCCTCTTTGTAGTTTAAGGGGAAGGGAGAGGTAGACTACGCGCAGGGGGATCTGGAAGGATGCTGTGTCCAGGTAGGGCTCTTTTGGAACGACCTTTGCTCTGCTTCCTGATCCTATCGTTATCTGCTCGTTTGAAAAAGAAGCTAGCAGTGTCCTACTCTTTTACCTGGCTCAGGGTATTGCCTATGTTTAAAAGATTCAATTTGCATTTCCCTTTCGATACTTAGCAGATCTGGTGGAAGGACATTTTCCATCAGAAAACGGCACCAATCAGTACGCAAGGAAGACAACCTCGGTGAAAGGCTGGCACAATATGGAGTCGAAGGACAAGGCGTTCGTCAGCACAGCCAAGACACGCACCTGCCCATGACCATGTTGACCACTAGCTTCATGTTGGCCCCTTGCCCAACGTCTCCCAAGAAAAACTTAGCCTGGATCAGGACACCACAAGTTTCTGGTCAGCTGCTTTGTTTCTGCTCAATTTGCACAACTTCCGGGGGAAGTCCACTGTGATCAATTGACGGACGAAGCTCGAGAAAGAGCGTCAGAGAGCGTCAAAGAGCGTCAAGAGCGTTATTGGATCCAGTCTGGCCTGCCAAAGCGCCACCTGTTCCCTAACGAGCTTTCCTGAGGTAGGTGACAAGGGCTCCAATGATTACTTACTCAAAAAAGTAAAAGGGCAAGGGGTAACGTCAGCATGGAGCAAAGGCAGGCACCCAACGACGTAAGGGCTTGACCTTTGGGCGACTTTGCAGCAGAGAGGGCGCGAACTCGTCGCGACTTTGCAGCAAAGAGAGCGGAGATACATTCTTCGCTTTTCGCTCCTGGAGACGTGCGAAGTTCAGAGGAGGCGCCTTCCTGAAACCCAACCTTTCGGAGAATGGCTGCATTTCACGCTGACGTGTCTCCATTGCTGCGTCGCGCGCATATTTGTCGCATCGCCTCACCTTACCCATGACGTCGAACGCTGCGCTGGCACGGTCGAAGAGCGCCTTGTCCCCTGCACTTGCAAGGAAGGGCGGTCAAAATCGACGTACGAATGCACGAAATCCTCAGTAACAATAGCCCGTCTTTCCATTTTGAGAGCCGGAGGCCTTACATCTCCAATCCTTCCACTCTGGTTTCAACGGATGGCTTCGAGGTTGCCGTATAATCCGTGGCTTCTAACTGTAGGGTCTGGCTTTGGGCACTTGACTATTTCTATCTGCTTTTCGTTATGAAGGATATTTCTAGACCAACTGTTGCAGGATGTTAACTCCAACCATTAGCCGATGCTTCAATGATCTGTTGCACTGTCAGTTCGATTCTACCGGAGCATATTTGCGCAACAACTTGCCGGCCTATAATCACTTTGCCATTTCCACAGCAAAGGTGGAGCGCTCACCTGCCGTCAGAAAGATGAGAGTCCCGTCTTCGGCAGGCTTCTTCGAGCCGGATACGGGGGCCTGAAGCAGGAAAACACGTTCAAGGCAAAGATTTCAGGGTGTTGTTCTGATGTTCCACAGTTCCAAGAGGTTTCTCTTCCCAGTGCTCCACCTGCCCTCGCCTTTTTCGTCAGGGACCGTGTTCGTCTCGACCTTTCAACTTCTGAATCGTCTCTTGATAACTGCTGAATGTTCAAAAAGGTTCGCAGCTTCGTTCTTACCTTTTATATTCTTCCCTCGGTCGGCGCAAGCCTCGGAGCGCAATGCGCTCATAACAACGTCGAACAATAAAACCCGAAAGAGTATGTATTGAAGGCGACCCGGCCATCCAGGTCGCCACGAGTACGTGGAATTGATACAAAGTGATGCCATCAACGTCGTGCTTAGAGTATTGTAGTGGCTTCGTTTTCAAAACACAGGCCGCTCTGTGGCGGACCCCTTTGCTGCCAGTGTCTAAGTTTATGTTGAAGTGATAGCAATGCATAGTCCCTTTTCTGGAAGCTCTGAAGGCCTACACTTACGACAAAGTGCGCCAAAGAACGAATATAAGCGGAGGTCGAATCTGAAGACGCATGATGTTGCAGGCTTACAGAATAGAAGTAGGCCAAAGGCGCTTTCGCACACGCTAAGTGTGAGGCGACCCGCAAAGCCTCCTCACCTCCAAAAACTGACCCCCAGCTTTCCTGACAGCTTCCGCAATCTGCCGCGCTGTGTCGCCGTCCACTGTTGAAACGTCGACGTACCTGCATGCGAGATGAGGTTGGGGGTAAAATACTGGGTTAATTATGAGTTAATGATTTAGAATTACAGTCCTCGCTCAGACGAAAGAGATAATATCGGATGTAATCCTTCATAAATGGCTGTCGCATTGTCGGCTGCTGACGTCGACAACAGCTGGAACGGCACGATCTGAACGCAGGTGGCTCATTCACGACTCCTCGCACGTTTAGTTGGAATTTAGAATCTTCAAAACGAGGAGAGTTGACCTAAGACGTCGCCTTCATCAGACCAGTCCAATGCATTGATGGAGTCATCGAAGGGTTTAACGAGCTGACAGGGCGTCAGTGCACTTCGGGCAAGCAAACACTATTCAGCTGACCAGCTTACCGAGACCCCAAATGATGGTCCAGGAATGCATGCAAGCAGATAAGCTCGCTCAAGAGGAGCTTTTGCAGCACTGCTTTCAGTCTAGCACAAAAAGAAAGGCAAAAGGAACACGGTTGAATGATAAAGAAGAAGAGAACCGGGAGCAACCTGGGATCGTGTTGCGATAACTCACCCTTTTCCAGCACTGACTCCGGCGACGGCTCCGTCCTCTCCGAGAGCAGCGCTAAGCTGCAAAAACGTGCACACAGCTGCTGAAATTCTACGACCTTCTTTGAGGCATCTGATCACTAGGCCATAGTCCTAGCGTTGACTTTGCCTAAATCGAGTCTGCCGATTGCAGGACGATTTGGGAGGTTCAAATGAAAAGCATGGCCCTTGAAGCCGTTGTTAGGCTTGAGAAACCTTTGCTCGCATCTATCTGAGACACGCGTACTTCTGGAGAACTCTTCTCGTTCTTAGAGAGAACTACAGAATACTGATGTTCATATGCCTCAAGAAGGAGGGTCAGGAGGAGCAATTAAGTGACATCATAATCAGAGCTTTTCGAAGTGCGAAGGCAGGGACAGAATCTGACAGACAAGCGAATGTGTGCATGAACGTCTTACCGCAGCTGCAGGGTCCGCCAGCATGGCAAACGTGATGTCGCAGTCGCGCACGACTTGCGCGGGGGTCTTGCCAAGCCTGTGGGCAAGTAAAAGTTCTTATGTCGGCTTATGACGCGTCAATCATCACACTCTTAGAGAAAACAATACCTGTTTTGTGCATACTGTGCAACTTCAATGTGGCTTTAGACAATAAAGCAGTTTGAAGAAAGTTTGCGCGAAGTTTCAATATAGTACTCAGAAGCCAGTCTGGCCTGACTAAGACTCCGCGCCTACCTTGCCCCTTCCTGCACCATGCCCTCTGCTTTGCTGAGTGTCCGGTTCCAGACGGTGACGTCGTACCTGAAGATGAACAAGATATGTAGTGTGAATGACAGGATGAACGTTGTAAGGGGATTTCTATTGCGCCATACTTTTTGACCTTCCTATAGCAACATGTCTATGCCTTATCGACTGGAAGTTCCTGCTCTGATGTCCTGTGATGGGAGAAGTCCTGTGGCAGATACAGAACGACAACCGACAAACTTCAGTACCCATGCTGTTATCGTTTGACTTAAAATGCTGGCACCATTGCTAAAGAACATCTGGTAGATGATTGGACCAAATCAAGGAAGGGGTATTAAGTAAGAAGGGGATTGAGTTGTTCATGAAGATCTGGAGTGGTGCAGAGAGTGCTTTCAAATCTATTATATATGACAAGCAAAGCGCACCTGCAGATTCAACATGCATTAAGTCTTGCTCAAGACAAGGAACAAGAGTTGAGAGCAGTTGAGAATCACACGAGCCTGTCGTTTAAGATGCCAGAATGAAGAGTCACAGAAGATGACACAATGCAGATCCTCACCCTCAAGTCCAGGTGAGAGCAACAACAACAGGCTCACCCTGCTTTCAGAAGGTTGCGAGTCATGGCGGTACCCATGATCCCCAGGCCCAGCCATCCTATTGACGGCTTCTTCTCAGCACCTTCTGCAGCACCTGCAGTCAAGCACAATTCCTGGCTCTCCTAGCCGCTGCAATTACCTGAGGCCCCTGATTGTCGACTGAATGTCGCATGCTGCCAAGCCTTAAAGCAGGTGCACCATTTGGGGCGGCGTTGCTTATCACTCTGATCAGTTCAAAGTGGCACTGATCCAGGGCAGATGCTGTCAACACTTTCTATCGAGACGCGCAAGTGAGCAATGGCAGCTTGACATCCGCTGAGAGGGAACTGCGCGGTGCCTACAAAGCTTCTCACCTGCACCACCACCACCTGATCACAGTGTTGCTGACATTGTCAATCTTTATATCTATCAGGCTGACCGACTGCATATGCATCTAAATTGCCTGCTTTCTGCCTCTGGGTCAGCTGCACGACCACCACCTGATCATAGTGTTGATTGCAGTTGTAGTTTCCAAATGCAGATCAGAATGGAGCAGCTGAGTATGGCCGTTATGCCTTGAACCCAGCAAGCTTTTTGAAAAGGCCTGCTGAAGATCGACCATCGAGGGAGTCAAAAAGTGAGAGTCAGATCTTAATGTGCTACAGCAACAGTACATCAGGCAGAAACCAACCTTTCGCATCTGTGGACATTGCCCTGCACCCTTCAACAACTTTGCGGCCGGGCCTTGCAACCCCATAGGAAGCACCGCTCTTCTTGTGAGCTTCAGTCAGCTTGTGATTGGTCACAAAGCTGCCCGCCTCACAGACTCTGACTGATCTATCGTCTGTGTGCGTTGCAATTGCCTCGTGCACCTTCAGCGAACTGCAATGCCGAAACGCGTTGGCCCAGGGGAGGGAACCTGCGCTTCTGCAAGTGCTTTTGACAACCACATTATGGCTCAAGGCTGTTGAAAGCCGCAGGCTGGCGACGGCGCTGCTCAAGCAGGGCGCCATTGTTATCCTCCTCCTGAACTCAAGTTGAGCTGCC